CCCCTTCCCTAGATCCCCCACTGATTTTGATCACTCTCGAAAGTTCGCTTGTTCACTTCTGTATTCTATGCAGCTCGGCCAGAGTGAACATTTCTTCACGGATGATATACAAGTCAGCATCCACTAACCAATTTAAGTGATGTATAGACAAATTAACATCCAAGAGACTGTGTAGATCTACTTTTTGCGAGAGAGATTTGCTGTCCAATCCTGTTAAACACAAGCCATGTTAAACACGCATATTGGCTGGTAATGTAAGTACAGTTTTATTTCGCTTCTAGAAACGAGATGTAAACAATCGAATCAAAACTTGAAACAGATATAAATTGTACCTGTCTACAATCCTTTTGAATATATCTGCATTGCTAGTGAAATTAACACAAAGAATTGCCAAGATAGGAATAAACTAATGTGATTTCCATTTCCAAGAAAGAACATTATTCGTTATTTTTATTGTCTACATTACAATCTGCACTACCCTTTTTATTTTGTTGTTATAGTTGCCTAAAGGTACACTTTTTAACAGGCGGGAGGTATGATAAAAAAGTTAGGGATTTCAAACATTGATTGCTAACTTATCTGATGAAAAGAGATGTAGCGGGTCTACTGTGGGTGTGTGAAAGAGGTTTAAAGCTCTATGCTACATGTATGTGACAGGGTACCTTTTCTGGAAAAAACACTATACAAAATGGGAAAGGATTTGTACCTTGGGCCAGAGCCTCCTTGTATAAAACTTTGCTGTACCTTCCCTCTCCCCCCTGGGCATAGTTATATGAAGAACATCGATATTGTAAGTAAAAACATTCCGTCCACTTTGGGGTCAAGGTCGAAACAAAATTGAACATTTTTTGGTACAAGATTTAGCAAGAGGTTTTCATGGCGGAGTATTATTTTCAACTAAACTTTTTCAAGTAGCCCTTTCTGGGAGGGATGCTGAAAACTGTCTGAAGTGATTCTTATAATATTTCAAGAAATACTTTCCTCTCTAGTCCTATTTACCACCTAGCTAAAATCAATTTTTTTACGTTTGCTATTGTATGAAATAAACAAGAGTTTGGCAATATCCGTGTCCCACCAAAGCAAAATTGTGCAAAATATTCTTGGTATTCTCAAGATGATTGTCTTAAAATTGTGAATGTCAAAACCGTGTGATACACTTTCTGCATAATTGTAATATAGCCGTTTCATATAACCAACTCCTCTGACTGGGCGTCAATTTGGAACTGGTGAATATGGTGAATTCTCATTTAATGGCTTCATTGTGCAACAGATTGTAGAAGTTATTTGACACTATTCTCCCAGGGGAGAGCTAAGAACTATGATGACATGTACAATAACAATGCTCCAGAGGGCCAATCAAAATAATATATTCCATTTTAAAATTTATAAGCAGGCTATATAAACAGCCTGTAATTTATTTTTTTGTCTACTTACCTAGTTACACTGTACATGTACTACTTGCGTTTTAAAAAAGTCATTTCAAATATTATTCAAGTACCTTCTCAAAGAAGCTATCTTGAATTCAGTAATTTACTATTGACTATCTGAATTTATATTTACGTCTCAAAGAGAGCCTCAACCTCCAAAAATCTTAGTCCAAGATTGACAATGTCCACATATACAACGTAAATGTAAGCCAAGAAGTGCACTTAATTGATCCTCACTTGTTGTTAGCACAAGTTGTTAAGTCAAGGGACGAAGAAGATTGATAAACGCCCAGTTAGTGTCCATGCATATGCTGTCATCGTATAAATTACCTTTAGAGAGTACCATTCTTTCAATTATTTACCAACATGCACAAAATTACTATTTTTTTAATCAGGACTTCCAACTTTATTTATCTCTTAATAATAATAAGCATTTTTTTGACAAGTCGCTGATCACAACCATAATACGAACAACTCAAAATAGATTTTTTCGCCATGATTTAAACTAAGGTTAACAACTGAAAGATGCTTTTTTAAGCTTCAGACAATTAGATGTAAATACTCAAAGAACCATTTAAAAAAAAATGTTCAACAACATGTTACAAAATTGGAGAAGCGAACGTTTGAATCGTTTTTTCTCCTAGCTTGAAAGTATGTTTATATCTCTTTATGGTTTAGTCTAGTAGTGGACAAGTATTTTTAGACCTGGTGCTAACAAAACAAATTCTCATGCACTACTGGAAACCGCGTTAAACAAGCATGGAATTTTAGCTTGAACTTGCATTATAGTAAGTAAAATTTGTGTTTTCTGACGATGTTCGTTCAACAAGTATGTGATGGGAACGCACGATGCGTATTTATTTACTTCGACTTCCTTAATTTATTTATTTAGACCAACAATTTCCGCTCAGGTGCCAAATCTGAAACTTGTTTCGTTCATAAATCAGGTTCAAATTGGGTGCTTTCTTCTCTTTCCTTTGTTACCTTTGAATTAAAAAAGAAATGCTTCTTCTTGAAACAGTCATTCTAATTTTACTTGTAAACAATCTTCTGTTATAAAAAAAAAACAGAGAAAAAAATGATTAAAAAAGAGCCTCAGAAGTTGAATTGTGGTCAATGTGTAAACTGTTTAACGTTTTACTCGTGAGGTTCGATTTATTTGGGGAGATTACTTCAAAAGTTAAGCCCAGAAAATATCGATTTTCTTCTTTGATACCAGACTTGGATAACTTGATGTCTGATTCTCAAAGAAACCCAGTTTTGAAACAATGTTTCCATAAGGTATTTACAAAAAAAAATGTGGCCATGGAGTCGAACTTTGTTCGCTTTCAAGAAACTCGATAAAAGCGATACTCAAGGGAAATGACTGAAGCTGGAAATAAACCCGAGTTTCGAAGCAGGTAAGCTCTTTGTTGGGACAACTTTTGAAACACTGAAATCGTACAGTTTATGCATATTTTTGCCCATAAAAGACTACACTTTTTGTCTGCAGAGACTAGAGTTTTCAATTAGGTCCCATTTTCAGGCATTGCGCAACGGCTATTAGTGTTCAGTAATGTGCTTGATTTCGTGTTCACTCTTAAATCAAGAGAACATTTGCTAGTCTCCTGGAGGACTAGAAAGGTTTATGAGTAAATTGGCATAATATCCATTGTCAGATGATGCAAATCAAATAGTTCACAGCATCACGAAAATTGTCAATTGTATTCCTTTGGATACGTCGCGACGGGCCCCAACGAAATAGTTAAAAATATTGAATGGCTCCCAACTCGACTGGAAAATTAATCCAATGAGATATGTTTTTTTTATTATAAACTTGGTAAATTGAGTGGGTGGAAGTTTACAGAGACAGACTTTAACTTAAAACTAGCAATTTCCATTAAGTGTCCTGTATAAAAACACTTTTACGGAAGAAACTGAAACTGTTGAATGGTACTGTCGAATTACAGAAGCTCTCGGAAATGATCAAAATTCAACAAGATGCTAATTTTCTTACAATAGATGACCAGTCCTTAAAATGTCATACCAATTTTGTCAGGTTTTGAATGCTAATTAGACAAAAATCGCTCTTTTCCTGTGGATTCTTAGAAATAAAATCTACCAAAAAATCTTTGAATATTGACTTCTTTCTGAAACTAAAACGGTAAATAAGAGAAAGCCATCATCCATGCTACGCTGTCTTAGTTCCATTGTTTGGATGGTTGATTTGAAAGGCTCTACCGTCAAAACAGTCCTTGAAATGACTATATTCATTGTACGGTGTGATTCAGTTTTTGATCAGTTCATGATTAATTCAAGTGTGAGGTGATTTCAAAATTTAAGTATTGATATGTAGTTCAATAAGAGATTAATTTCTCTTCATTTAATTCTGGGAATTTTCTGAAATGCAATGTCAGAATACTTCTAAGAAAATAGAATGGCAATCTGGCGGCAGCCTCGCTCAAAACCGTTGGCGAACAAAGTCCATTCTGCTGACTACACTCGTTTCTTTTAGTTTCGGGAATTCTAGCTCGTAAGAAGTATCAAGGAATTAGAGCATTGCATCTCAATAGAGTTATTTCAATGTTTTATTCGTAACCGGCGTTTTTTTTTTTTTTACGATACTTAAGCGGCGCTAAGGGGCTCGTGTTTGCTTTCAGGCATGCAGTGGCTCAAATTAATTCGCTCCAACATGGTACTCGTCATTATCAGCCCAATATTCGTTACTTTCGCTGTGGTGTGGAAAGAAGCCTTAGCCATAATTTCTGTTCAAATCCATATCATCTGATCGAGTTAAAGGTGAGACAGTTACTTGTAAATATTGAGTCTTAATGGCGTTTGCTCAGTAGAGTATTGTAAGTATCGAGACGAGACTCGAGACTGAACGATCTATTTTGGCTGCAAGCGAAGTGTTTCGTCCAGTCCTTACTTGCATAAAAGAAAATGGGAAAGGTTACTAAATTTTCCCGTAATAAATGCGAGGATGTAACAGAATGAAGACTGAAAACTAAGTCTCTTATTTTGTAACAAAATATATATTTAGTGTTCATCCATGCAATGTCTTTTCATGGGCTTTGTAACTAGAATGCCAGAGCGATGTAGTCTCATTCTTTCTGGGTGATTGGTCAAATTAAAGTTTTAGAGCGTCAGACCTCACTTTCTCCGACGTAAACATTTCGTTTCTTCTAGGAAGAAGAATTGTATCGGCTGCTTATATGGGCAAAGAAATATGTTCACTGTATGTTGTGAAATATTAAATCGATCGGTCAGTCACATTCTGGATACATATATTGATCATACGTCTTTGCTTACCTGAATCAGCGAGGTATCCCGGAACAGACGGTGGTATTTCTTGATATTTGCCTATACAGCAAGAGATTTAAGGAGGACAGGAATTAAGGCGTTCCACTCCGCCGACACGAAAACAGATGATTACTCAACGTGAAATATCTTGGAAAAATTGCAAATTGCAAATATAGATCGATCGGGATATCTTCCAGTGACTTCATTGGCCAGTAGAAACCAATCATAGAAAGCCTCCGCCTAACGTCACAATGCCCACGTGGATAACTCTTACATCAGCTTCGTTCACGTGCAGTTGTCCAGCAATATTTATCGAGGAATATTACTATCCAATCAGCAACCGCCCTCACACATGTCAGGAGACAAGCCCCCCCCTCCCCAACCCCGCCAAAAAGCAATCCCATTATTAGTAAACACGTGATGGGAAAACTACTAGGCTCATCTGACTCAAAAGATCGCAAAGTGCTTCAGTTTTAAGCTTCTGTATTTCCCTGAATTTAGGAACTGCTACTGTAGACTTGATGGAGATAAATGATTACTGACAAAGGGCCAAAATCCAAAATGACAGCTGAAAAATGGCCGAAACTGCCAAACAAATTGTTACTGACATACCATGCACTGAAAATCCAAAACGTCTAAGCAGGAGCTGAAACTTTTAGTCATGCATGGATACTTGAGCGTAGAAACGACTATCGACAGGACTAAAGGAACATGCAAATTTGACACTCACTCCGATGTTATATGTAACAATCGGTATGTCAACAGAGGACATTGTCGATTTTCTGAAGTAATGCCGCAACGCCTCTTTTATCGTTGGAATGTAGACTTTTCGAAGTAATGCTGCATCGTTGAAATAAACATCGACTTTTCTTCGAGAGGATTTCGATCAGATTGATTCGCGTTGCAGTCAGGACGTGTGTTACCGAGTCAATGCTAGTAGCTGTTTGAAAGACTAAACGTGTGACTGTGTGTTGAGACTGAACGCGAGGCATCTTTGATTCCTCCCGGGGCGGGCGGGGGGGTACTCTCTTATATGGGCTATATAGGTATGTGCGGCCCCAAAGGGTATGGTTTTCAGCCGTTTTGNGGTCATAAATAGGGTATGGTTTTTGCACTCTAGCCTTGATATGGGTATGTTTTTAAGAAGAAGCCACTTTCTCATCGAAAAGAAAATCAACAAAAACCCTTCACAAACTATGTTTACGGTAATTTAGCATTGGTTTGAACTAGGGAACTAATTATAACGCAGGTCTGAAACAGGGTTTTGATTTAACGGTCAGGTCATGAATAGGGTTTCGAATTTTTGGTCAGGTCATAAATAGGGTAGGAAATATCCATGACAAAAAATTGGGTGACAATTGCTTTTTTGGCATGAGATTTTGGTCATAAATAGGGGAAGGGGTTTGGGAAGCGGGCCGCACACCCCCACTCAATTTTTCTGGGAGTTCCCCCGCCCGGGTGATTCCTCAACTCGAGACGTTTCCTCGTCGATCTTCTAACCTAACAGGGGGTTTATAAATTCCAACTTATTAAGGACTTTATGAATTAAACGCCTTCAACAATGCATAAATTAAACTAGCTACCAAAAACATTTGTTCAACAAGACTGGCGTCCATGAAGCCTGGAGCGCCCACTCCCTCCCAGCAGCCGACCGATGTCAAAGCCAAATAAATTTTTTCTTTACATGTTTTTTATTTGAGTTTATATACAAGCACCTTGAAGATGCTGGTAAACATTGAGTGGAGAAAAATCAATATCGTAATTAAACTTTTGAAATAAATGGCCGAACGTCCGCCGAACTGCACTGTGTACATGACAGGCATTTGTGAACTTTTGTCTTCTTAAAAAAACAGGTTTTGTCTTCCTTAAACTGAGGTTAAATACATGTTTCTATATTCGAAAAAAGCTGTTCACATGCTCA